GGGGGAATGGAACCAGGAGCTCCAGGTCCCGGGCTCGGCTGGTTCAGGACACCTAGGAGGCGAATGCCCCCCAAGCCGCGGACCTAGGGCGACTCGGTGATACAGTAGGCGACCCTCCGGGCGTCCGTGTTCCAATGCAGAGCCCGGAACAGAGTGAGCGTCTGGTTTTTGTAGGGAGGTAGGAACAGGGAGCAGGTGCACAAAATCAACTAAAAAGTGAACGAGCCGGAGTGCCCTTAAGGTGGAGGGACCACAATCGTGACAGGTGTGAAATGAGCTGCGGTTGAACCATTAATATCAAAAAGTCAAATAATATGCTTCAATTATCCTTTTATACTGTTGCTAAGCAAAAAGGAATATGAGCAAAGGCAAATAGTCACTATATCATATACTTAAGGAAAGATAAATGCTAAAAAGATAAAATCTTCCTTAGCTCCTAATAAATCTGAACTGGCTTCATCACTCTGTTCTCCTCACCATTGCCTGTAAAGCGCTTAAAGTGGAGTGTCCAGAAAAGCAACTACAGTATATCCTTGATTCGAAGGACTGATTGGGTGGAGGGGGTGTCCAATATTGCCAAATGTCCATTAAATATCTGTAAAATAGCGTCTATATGAAACCTTAATCCGTTAAATAACAAATTATATATTTTGAAGCACAACGCCACCCATATTTACGTGAAAAACAAATTCTGCTACATGTATTACGTATCGTTTATTCGGACATAATAATACATAATAGTTAATTACCCACCGTCTTTTAACAAGAAAAAAAAACTGAATATTATGTAGCCTACTCAGAAGAGGAATCACCTTGCTCCTCTTCCATGTTTAACGTCAGTCCTAGCGAGAGATTAACACCATTTGCTGAGGAGGTGCTATGTTGAGGTGACACAGGATTTGGTCAGCTAATTGGCTTGAAGAAAGCATCCAATTTCAATTGTGTTTTGGAAGTTTACTGCTTAATAATCTCTCTGAAAGCTCTGGAAGTGAGAGTAATACAGCTGAACTTCAGGATCAGATGATGAGTCCATAAACCTGATCAAGTCCTCGAGATGAGATCTTAAATCAGACAGTTTGACTTTACAAATTTGAGGTCCCTCTTCCTCCTCCTCATCATTGCTTTCTTTGTCCGTCATATCAACCGGAAAATGAACTGAAGAATTTTGTCTGTTAAATCCGATAAAACTGTATTTCCCAAGCAAATGATCTGTTTAGCTATTGTATGGTAGAGAATAACTAAATGCATAAATGCAAGCCTGTCCATCGGGTTTCAAACAATGTAGTCAAACATGTTTCTTGTTTTGAAACAAAACTGGGTCACAGGTTTGTGTGAAGAATTTAAAATATCGTTCGTCATGGGGTGGAGTGGTGGCACTGTGGCTAATGATCTGTGCCTGTGGCTGGAAGGCTGCCGGTTCGTATCCCGCAGCCAGCAGAGGAATCCCACTCCGTTGGGCCCCTAAGCAAGGCCCTTCACCCCAACTGCTCCAGGGGTGCTGTACAATGGCTGACCCTGGACTCTGACCCCCAGCTTCTCTCCCTCTCTCTGTCTTACGTAGAGCAAGCTGGGGTATGCGAAAAGACAAATTCCTCATGCAAGAAATTGTATATTGCCAATAAAGTGATCTTATCTTATAATCAATTGTCATCCCTGTTTATACCCTCTCACTCCACTCGGTCCCCGCTCACTATTGAGAATAACCCTTGGCTTTCTCTTGTGTGCGTAAACTACTCTCGACCTGATTTCTGTCTACCCGACCTTGTTTTTCCTCCTGCTTCGACTTCGCCTCGCCCCTCGTTTTGGATGTGGATACTCTTGTCCTGACTCTTGTGATACCCGACCTTGCTCTTCTACCTCAATGTCACGAACCGCCCTCCGGCGTGCACCTCTCGGCATCACCTGCGCCCTAGTAAGCAATTTGCACTGCCCCCGCCCTTTTCCCCATTTCAACCCGCTCACTCCTCTCAGTCCTCGCTCACTGTTGAGATCGACTTAGCCTTTCTCTTGTGCGCGTACTTTTTGAACTGATCTCTGGATACCGACCCTGGTTTTCCTTCGGCAACGTCTTTGTCTCTGTCTCGCGGCTCTCGATACCTTTCCGCCCTGACTACTGGAACCCGACCTAGCCTGCCTACCCGACCTCGCATTCCGTCTTTGGCCCTTTGGATTTCTGGACATCTATTTCTCTCGGCACCGATCATCTCTTCCACTAGTGACCAAGTCCCTAGTGACTATCGTGACACTCGACTACGACTTTTGCCTTTTGGGATTTGGATGCCAAACACTTGCTGCCTACAGTCTCAGCGCCGCAGTGGGTCCAACCTGGTGCTCCCAATCATGACAGCGGGCAAACAAGTCCAAAACAGCCCAAATAGGAAAACCAGGGCACAGTCCAATATCCAAAGCCGGGAGGTCCATCCAAGACGACGACAAGAGTAAAAACAAGGAACGGGAACATGGAACCAGGAACGTGGAAGCTAAAAGAAGACGAACGAGGCCAGGTGCTCCGAGCCAGGGCCTCAGCTGGTTGGAAGCCAGTGCCCTGAAGCCTGGGGCGTGGGGCGACTTGATGCTCCGGGTGTCCATCTTCCAATGCAGAGAGAGCCCTGAGCTTTGCGGGGGCACGGGGCTTAAATAATAAAGGGGAGCTAAGGACGGGTGAACGTAATAATGAAACAAATACAAAAGTGTTGGAGCGCCCTCTAGAGGATGAATGGCGATCGTGACAAAATGACAGTCTAAACAGTGCCTTGCAGGAAAGCAAAAAAACAACAGCAATGTTGCTGTCCCACAGTTCCCTGGCCTGCCGTATAAGGCCACATTATAAAATACTGACGTTGAACAAATCTAGGACTACTGGCTGAAGTTCAGAACTGAAGAGCAAATGATCGTGTTTAGATCGAGGTTGAGGTTAAGGTACATTTTTAAACACCAAACCCCGAAAAATGGAATTAAGAGGTGGCAAGTACATCTCCAATTTATGCAGTTTCTGTAGGTCAAGGACCTACTTGCACCACCACAATAAATAACTTTAACATTATTTTAAACAGGTAAACAAAAAAAACAGGTAAACAGTGATTTGAGAATGTTCTGTTTTCTCAGTTCTCAGTATGTTCTCCATTACTAAAATTAATGTTTTCTCCCTTGAATTCTTAGTTCTATGATTCCTATTCAACCTCCTTTAAGGTACTGAGATAGACTACATACTCTAATTTCACAATTCTTTGGAAATGAAGCAATCATGCATTATTTATTCTAATCTGCAGTGCAGCTTTGCTAAACTTCTCTTTTTTATTCCTTCTCTTTTGTTTCCCACAATTTTTCCCCACTGCTTTCATTTGCTCTTTTTCAATTTCAGTTTAAGAACTTTACTGGAAAACAATGTTAAGTAAATTTCTTAAACTTAAAACTAGCGTGAAAAAAAACACTTTATGCGGACACAGGGATGGGACAAAACCGAAAGAATGTCCCGAAGTCGTCTGGGAGCTAGTTCAAGGTTCTAAACAAGGTAAACGTGCGCATCTCTCTTCTCTTATGTTCAGTACCGAGGGAAGTTATGGCTCTTACATATTAACAGGTATTTAAATCCTTAAAATAGATAAGAAATGACTCAAGCGCCCCCTGCTGACAAGGAGTAGAATTACACTTGTTGGAGAGTCCTGCAGGTCCTAGTCTTCACCCTTTAATGCAGTTACAGATTATTATTAATAATAATAATTGCTTACACTGATATAGCGCTTTTCTGGACACTCCTCTCCAAGTGCTTTACAGGTAATGGGGATCCCCTCCACCACCACCACTGTGCAGCCCCATCTGGATGATGCAACAGCAGCCATAGTGCGCCAGAACACTCCCCACACATCAGCTCTCATTGGGGAAGAGAACAGAGTAATGAAGCCAATTCATAGAGGGGGACTATTAGGAGGCCATAAATGGTAAGGGCCAATGGGAAACTTGGCCAGGACACCTACTCTTTTCGAGATTGTTAATGACCAATCAGGACCTCTGTTTTACATCTCAGCCGAAGGATGGCACCTGTTTACAGTATAGCATCCCCATCACTAGACTGGGGCATTAGGACCCACATGGACTGCAGACCATGTGACCTCACCTTTGGGTGAGCAACTCCTGCTTGACCCACTAACACCTCTTCCAGCAGCAACCATAGCTTTTGATGTGGTCTCCCATCCAGGTACTAATGAGGCTTAACCCTGCTTAGCTTCAGTGGGTAGCCAGGTGAAAGCTGCAGGGTGATATACACTAGCTGATAGCAATTACAGATCTTTTGGTACCAAAATCTCAGCCCCTTTCAGCTCTCAAAGACCAGAATTCTCTTAATTGAACAAATGGCCAAATTGAATATTTTACACATGTTCCCACACTTTAGGAAGACTTGATCTGTAAAACGAACTGGATTGGAGCTTTTCAGGATTGTAGTCTCCCTTTCCTATTGCAACAATTAAACCAGGGGACTAGCTCCAGACCTGTGTGGGCTAGAAGGCTTCTGGTTTTCCTCCCAGCTGAGCCCTTTAATCATCTAATTAAGCTCATTATGTACTAAATTAAACAAATCTGAGTCATTTCATTGATGGTACGCTGGAG